ATTAAATAAAAGTGCATCAATGATAAGATTACTTGACATTTCATTCATGAATTTGGGTCAACCCATGTACCCTCCTAGAATTAGGAATGAAAATCATTCAAAGAGATGGACCATTAAACTATTTGTATATATTCACATATTTTTTTATGTCAAAACAAAGTATTAGTTTGCATACATGAACAAACAGGGGTCTGGGAAGGGGAAGGGACAAGGAGAAGGAGTTATCTCTTTACGTCTTAATTGTTGAAAACTCCTAAAATGAATGTTAACCTCAAATCCGACTTGTACGTCTTCATTATTTTTAAGTGTTGGTGTCTCCATATGAGTGAAAATTCCCGAGAGGGACATTTAACAACAAACAAACATTAATGACTTAAAAAGCACAATATACATGTACATGATTATTAGTCAACGGATATACTTCTGGGCCCATATCTCTAGTTCTCCCTTGAATCAGAAATGATGATATAAATATTTTTAGAATGATTAAGAGTTGAAAAGGTTGTGCATTTTAAAATTGACTAAGCTCTGTGGTTGAATTAGCTATACCAGTTTAGCTTATTTTGCTACTCAAAGCACCTTGATTAACTATTTTTAATCATACTGTTTTCTGAAATGTGAAGTTTTTCAATGTGGATAAAAGTTTAACCTTTTCAGCTTCTGAAAACAATGCATGAAAAAAAAACCTTTTCAAATACTGTAACTCTTTCCAAGTGCTTGTGATCATAAGTTTTTAGCTCACTTGAGTTTTTCTGGTTTTTCTGATCACATTTTGTTTGTCATCCATCTCTCCGCCTGTAAACTTTTCACATTTTTGTCTTCTTCACTAGAACCAACCCTGCCACAAAGCATCTTCGGGTAAAGGGGATTCAAGTTTGTTCAAGTGAAGAGTCACACCCTCTTTCAAGGTGGGATAATCACGAATTAGTGAAAATTTGGTGGTATCATTTAAAAAAAGTCTTATCAAGAACCACTGACTGGGCCCAAAAAGTTGAAACTTTCTTTACATAGACTTAGTGTAAATTTAGATTTGTTCCAATTATGACCCACTGGGGTAGGGTGGGGCCACATATGGGGATCCAATGATTTACATAGAAAAATGCAGGGGATTTTTTCCATCATAAATCTTCTTCTCATGAACAGCAAGGGCATTATTGCCATCCGTTTTCGCGAAAGGGACCTAGGGGACATTAAATCTCAATTGTCTGTCAGTCTGTCCATTTGTCAGTCCGTCCGTCTGTCACACTAAATTTAATCTTGGTCATAATTTTTGAATAATAAGAGATAGGGCTTTCATATTTCAAATGTACATTACCTACAAGAACTTTCTAAACATACTATGATTTTTGAACCCATGACCTTGACCTTGAAGTTTGACCTACTTTTAAAAAAATTTAATATTATTTTAAATTGATCATTTTGAAAGAGAAAAGATAGGGCATTCATATTATACATGTATATTACCTGTGACAAGACCTTTCTAAATATATCATGACTTTTGACTCTGTGACATTGACCTTGAAGTTTAACCTACTTTTCAAAAATGTTATATTTCCTTATAACTTTTGATTGAGAAGAGATAGGACTTTCATATTTGACATGTACATTACTTGTAACAAGATGTTTCCAAGCATGCTATGATTTTTTTACCCCTTGACCTTGATGTTTTACCTAATTTTCAAAAATTTTAACTTTGGTGATTACTTTTGAATGACATATGATAGGGCGTGCATATTTGAAACAATATGTCATAAACAATGGCATCCCATCCACTAGGACACGGAAAGCAGGGGACCACAATTCTTTGAATTTGCTTGTTAGTCATTTTGTTATGGAAACATCCTCATATAGTGTAGATTCAAGTTTTTTATGCCCTGCCATGAATATGGCCGAGGCATATAGAGTTTGTAAGTCCGACTTCAATCAAACGTGATATGCTGATACATACTGATGCAAGCTTTTCAACTGCATCAACCTTTTTGATCTTGACCTTTCCTTTGACCTTGACCTTACTTTTCTTAAATTAGTGTCTAGATCAGTTTTGAATAAACAATTCAAGATACATTTATCAAACTTCATATGCTGATATATACTGCTGAGAGCTATCAATTGCATCAACTTTTTTGACCGTGACTTTTCCTTTGACCTCGACCTTACTTTTTTAAATTAGTGTTTATCTACGTTTTAAATAAACCATTTATGATATTTTTATCGAACTTCATATGTGTTGATGTATTGTGATCAGGCGCGGAATGCTCATAATTTTGTTATGTTTAAGAGACGCCATATGCTTGAATGAACGTTGTGTCAACCTCAGAGATGTTTCATCAATTATAAGCCCTGTTAGGCATATCAACATGGTGACAGCGGTGCAAACTTGTTGTTAGTGTTACCGGTCGTCCCTGAAAGTGATGTTCCGTGAACTCTTGTAAGTTTTTAGTGTCAAACTTTGAATTTTGTTGTCAACACGTGCTCTGTAAACAACCGCCACATTGGATTCAGACTTGATACTCAGTAGCCTTAGATTTTTATTCGGAATGGTTGATCAGGAACAAGCTGTAGGACCTGTACAGGTGTACAATTGTCCGTTTAGATTACCTCCCCAACTTGAGTTATCCTCTGGAAATGTTTCCGAGAACTACAAAAAGTGGAAAAGACAAGTTGAAGTTTACATGTCAGCTTCAGGAGGAATCGACAAGAGTAAAGAGGTACAAGTAGCAATTATTTTGAGTTGTGGTGGACCTCATGTAGTCGAGATATATGACCAATTTCAGTGGGAAGACGAATCTCATAAGAATGACCCTGCTAAGTTATATGAGAAGCTACAAGCTTATTGTAATCCTCGTTCCAATGAAGTGTTAGAGTCTCACAGATTTTGGAAGTTACCTTATCAGGAACCTTTTGACAAATTCCTTACAGAATTAAGGACACGTGCAGCATCGTGTAATTTCATGGAACAGGAGAGGATGATGCGTGACAAGATTGTATTTACAGCTACGGGTAAGCTACAAGAACTACTTTTAAGAGAAGACAAACTGACGTTGAACAGAGCAATTCAGATATGTAGGGCATTTGAACAGTCAAACATACATGTGAAAGAGCTTCGAGAAAACATTACTTCATCGAGCAAGGTGAATAAACTATCTACAAACAAAAGACAGAAAAACTTCACCAAGCACAAAGTGACACATAAACAGAAAAGTGATTCACAGCCTTCGAGCAAGGAAAAGAAAGAGTGTGATTTCTGTGGTTATAAACATGAACATGGTAAATCAAATTGTCCAGCATGGGGCAAGAGATGTGACAAGTGCAACGGACGAAATCATTTTAAGTCCAGATGTAAGAAAATACATGCTGTAGGTGAAGACAATGAAGACAGTCCAGAGTTGGAAGACAGTTGGCTCCTTGCGTTGAAAAACAAAGACACACATAGCAAAGACATCACTGCGATAATGAATGTAAATAATTGCGACATACGTTTCCAGCTCGACAGTGCAGCTGATGTAAATACTATTTGTCAGAAGTATGTGAAAAAAGAACAGTGTCGTTCATCTAATGTTCGTCTAAACATGTGGAACAATACTCGTATGAAACCCTTGGGTGAAGCTGATCTTGATGTGATCAATATGCGCTCCAACATAGTTCAGAAACTTAGATTTGTAGTAGTGCAAAATAATCTTACCTGTCTACTTGGCATGGATGCAATTCAGGACATGGGACTTGTGACTGTGAACAGTGAAAAGTTCATATCAAAAGTTGGATTAGAACAGTCTCTTAGTGATTTGGGCATTGCAACTCTGAAAGTTGACCCAAGTATTCAACCCAAAGTACTTCCGTGCAGGAAAATACCGATTGCTATCCAGGACTCAGTGAAGCTGGAAATTGATAGACTTGTTGATCGAGGTGTTTTAATACCAATTACAGAACCAACTATGTGGGTTAGTCAGATGGCAGTTGCTCACAAGTCAGACGTAAAATTGCGAGTTTGTATAGATCCACAACCTCTGAACACAGCTCTGATACGAGAGTACTACAGATTACCTGTATTAGATGACGTACTTCCAAAGCTTACAAATGCTAAGGTATTCAGCAAACTTGACGTTAAAGAAGCTTTTTGGCACGTTCGCCTTGATGACGAATCGAGCAAACTTACAACTATGATAACGCCATTCGGGAGATACAGGTGGGCTCGTTTACCTTTCGGATTGAAAGTGTCGAGTGAAATCTTCCAGCGACGGTTAGACGAAGCATTATCGGGACTGGAAGGTGTTTTTAGCATTGTCGATGACATTATTATTGCAGGATGTGGTGACAGTGAAGAAGCAGCAAAACGTGACAATGAACTCAAGATGCAAAAAGTTCTTCAGAGATGTGAAGAGAGACACATCACACTAAATAAGGATAAGGAAGAATCCGGACTTCGTGAAATTTCATTTCATGGACACAAAATTTCGAAGGATGGTATCAAGGTTGATGAAAGTAAAGTGAAAGCTATCCTTGAAATGCCAGCACCGACTGATGTCTCTGGAATCAAACGCTTATGTGGAATGGTTCAATACATGTCGAAATTTCTACAAGATTTGTCAAAGATATTGGAACCGTTACGACTACTTACCCGTAAAGACCAAAAGTGGAACTGGGACAGCAAATGCGAGTCAGCATTTCAGACAATGAAACGTAAATTGACGGAAACACCGGTTCTAGCTTATTTTGATCCATCAAAGGATGTCACACTGCAAGTCGACAGCAGCAAAGAAGGAATTGGTGCCGTACTACTCCAAGATGGAAAGCCGGTCGAGTACGCATCAAGAGCTCTTACACAGGCAGAGAGAAAATGGGCTCAGATAGAGAAGGAAGCTTTATCTGTTCTCTATGGACTTGAACGTTTTGATCAGTACACTTATGGAAGGAAAGTTTTCATTCATAACGATCATAAACCATTATCTGCTATATTGCGCAAACCATTAGGATAGGCACCTAAAAGATTGCAAGACATTATGATGCGTTACTTCAGATATGACGTAGAATTCGTATTTAAGAAAGGAGTTAACCTTGTGATAGCGGATACGCTAAGCAGAGCTTTTCTCATGACTACAGAAGGAAGTGTGGATGAGCGTCACAGGATTCTATCTGTTTCAACATTAATGGATAATGACATACCAGATATCAGGATCCAAGAAATTCGCGATATAACAGCTAAAGATGCAGAAATGCAAACATTGGTCAACACCATAGCTAATGGATGGCCTGAAAACAAACAAGATCTACCAACAAGTGTGCGTCATTATTTCGATTTTCGTGACACTCTAAGCATTGAAGATGGACTCATTTTGAAAGGTGAAGCAGTCGTCATTCCGAAGACACTTAGATCAGATATGAAGATTCGATTACATAAAGCACACCTAGGATATGACAGTATGATTAGGAGAGCTCGTGGTGTGATATTCTGGCCTGGGATGAAATCCGATATAAAACAGATTGCGGATTATTGTGGGATTTGTCAGGAAAGAAAACCCAGAAATTGTAAGGAACTTTTAATTCAGCATTCAACATGTGAATTTCCCTGGCAGAAAATTGGACTAGATTTATTTGAGATACAAGGAAAACACTACATGGTTTCAGTAGACTATTTTTCCAATTTTATTGAGGTAGATTACCTTCCAACAACAACAAGCACAAGAGTGATTTCGTTGCTTAAGAAACAGTTCTCCAGATTTGGCATACCAAACGTTATAATTTCGGATGGTGGACCACAATTTAGATGTCAAGAGTTTCAGGATTTTGTGAAGACCTGGAAGATCGACCACAAATTCTCATCTCCGATGCATCAGCAAGCAAACGGAAAGGCTGAATCGGCAGTGAAGATCATCAAAACACTGATGATAAAAACACAGGAGGATGGGACAGACCCGTATGAAGCGTTACTTGAACAACGTTGTACCCCAAGACAGGATACTGGTCTAAGCCCAGCACAGATGATGTTCAACAGAGAGATACGTGCTACACTCCCAATGAGATCTCGAGTGAGCAATGATTTTGGAATAGCAAAATCCAAACACAGATCCAGACAGATTTCCGTGAAGAAATCGCATGACAAAAATGCACGAAACTTACCTGAAGTCGATATTGGACAGTCCGTTTATTTCCAACACCGGGAAGGACAAAACTGGAAGCTTGGGAAAGTGATCCAAATACTTGGACAGAGAACATACGTTATTGCAGACCAACAAGGAGTCGAATATCGAAGGAACCGAATTCATTTTAGACCAACTAAAATACAGACCCATATTCGTGAACAATCTCCAGTTCGTGAAGAACCAATCAACAAACGTGAACTCTGTGAATTTCCAAAACCAGTTAGTGAACCAACAAGCGAGTGTATGTCCAGCAAACGGATACCGGTAGTTGCAGGCTCGAATGAACAACATAGCGTTCCAAACTCGATTTCAGAAACTGTCGTCAGCAAGCCTTCTTACAAGGATATTATACCAGATACTCGTGCAATGCCAATATCGCGTGAACCGTCGACAAGGATTCGTAGGAAACCAGCATACTTGAAAGACTATGTACAAAATTGATTAAGATACTGTTTAATTCTATTTGATTATTTTGTAAAGAAGTTTGTTCACAGTTATTGATCATTCATTTGGGAAATGTTTAGTTTTAGTGTTTACATTGTGTACATCTTTCTCAGAAGGGGGGATGTTGATGTATTGTGATCGGGCGTGGAATGCTCATAATTTTGTTATGTTTAAGAGACGCCATGCTTGAATAAACGTTGTGTCAACCTCAGAGATGTTTCATCAATTATAAGCCCTGTTAGGCATATCAACAATATGCTAATAGTAAATACTTACTGATAAAAGCTTTTCAACTGCAACAACATTTTGACCTCAACCTATCCTTTGACCTTGACCTCTCTTTTCTCAAATAAATGTTAAGCTCAGTTTTAAATAAATCATTCAAGATATTTTTATCAAAACTAATATGCTGATATGTATTAGTGAGAGCTATTCAACTGCATCAAAAACTTTTCACCTTGCACTTTCCTGTGACCTTGACCTCCCTTCTCTTTAATTTGTATTTTGGTTAGTTTTAAAGAAACAATCTAAGATATTTTTATGTAAGCATGCACTTATACATAATTTGGTGAGAATTTATCATCTATATCCATTTTTTTTAGATTTTAGTTTCAATTTTAAAGAAACTGTTCAAGATATTCTCATCAAACTTCATACACTCATACAAATTTTCATGTTGCATTAGTAGTATACATTCAGCGGTGCATTTATGTCCTATGGACATATTTCTAGTTTTCAAATCATGACCCCCAAGGATAGGGTCAGGCCACAATAAGGGATCAAAGTTTTATATAGGAAAAAAAGGAAAAAAATCTTCAAAATTCTTCTTTTAAGAACAACAAAAGCATGATTGATATGGAAACATTCCCAAGAAGTGTAGATTCAAGTTTGTACAAATCATGACCCCATGGGTTAGGGAGGGGCCATTTTTTTCCTGCCCCTATTTGCTATCCACATGGAAATGCAAATTTGAAAACCATTTTACACATCCACAGGATAAAATCAATCATCTTCCAAATGATCATGATTTAAGGCTAGTGCATAAAATATAAGGGAAGTTCTGGGAACCAGGGTGTTTAAACATGTTAAATATTTTTTTAAAAAAATTTGATCCCCATTTGACCCCCAGGGGGAAAATAAAAATTCCGAAACCTTACTGCACATCTATAGGACACTACCAACCCTCTCCCAAAAGTTGATTAGGCTACTGTGTAAAATGTAAGAGGAGTTCTGGGAACCATGGGCTTTTTGCATAAAAACGTTATTTTTTTTTTTTACCCCTGATTGACCCCAGGGTGAAAATGAAAATTCCAAAACCTTACTGCACATCTACATGACACCACCAACCATCTCCCAAAAGATGATTAGGCTACTGTGTAAAATGTAAGAGGAGTTCTAGGAACCAGGGGCTTTTTTCATAAAAAAAACATCATTTTTCGACCCCCATTTGACCCCTAGGGTGAAAATGAGAATTGCAAAACCTTACTGCACATCTACATGACACCACCAACCATCTCCCAAAAGATGGTTAGGTTACTGTGTAAAATGTAAGGAGTTCTGGGAACCAGGGGCTTTTTGCATAAAAAACGTCATTTTTTGACCTCCATTTGACCCCCATTAAGAAAATGAAAATTGCAAAACCTTACTGCATATCTACATGACACCACCAACCATCTCCCAAAAGATGATTAGGCTACTTTGTAAAATGTAAGAGGAATTTGAGAAAGAAGAGTGTGACAGACGGACGGACGGACGGACGGACAGACATGAGTTACAACAATATACCCGAACTTTCTTTAGAAAATGCGGGTATAAATACAACTCAAATGCTTTTTTTTTTACAATTTACATCTTTAATGAATGATGATACTATATACAAATGTCATTGTTGTTGTTTGTCGTAATTTCCCGTCTCGCCGCTGGCTTTTCCACCTCACAGGCTGGAGGATGGACTCTAGGTTCCAAGGCTGGCTGGCCTATCTACTACACGCCATGGGCGGACTTTAGGCACTGGGTGGCCTCACTGTTGTACAAAAAACTCTGACGTATGGATGGAACCTGCTCCAACATATAAATACAAGTTTTACTTACAAGCTCTAGTGGCTTTACACAAATACACATTACACTCATTATCAGATCTATAGATAATGGACACGTCTTAGATAAGACTCAATTACACTCATGAGTTGTTTAAATTATACATACAACTCTTACACAAATGCAAAATTGCGAATTGCTACTTTACGGACAAACTATTATGACAGAAATTGTACACCGTACTTTGAAATATTCAAATACGTGTTGCTATATATAGTAATCACATTAAACAAAATATACATGCTAAAACTGATGAGAAATGCGGTGACTGGATGTTTTAGGACAAATGAATAATTTGTAAGAAATAACTAAAATAGAATTATAAATATAAGCCTTACCTTAGAAAAGCTGGACCATTACACTGCTAAAAATAATATCACACCAGAGCAAGCACTGCCATGAATCGCAGGGTACATACTTGTATAAAAACAAAGATATGAGAGGAGATGAAGGCGTCCTCCTCTCTGGACTGCCGCGTCCAAACTAAACTTGCACGGACTGGCGGGTTTTAAGGTCCAGTGAATTGAGGTTCAGTGAAGGGTATGTACAGTAATAAAACATTTAAAAGGAAGGGTGTCCCACGGGATATTTACATGAAAATTTAAAATAAATTAACAAAAATATGCTAGGATGATTTTGATTTGACAATTATATCCCTTTTTAAAGAAGTACGCAGTACTTTATATACACATTAAAATACACGAAAAGAACTTTTGAATACTCTGAAGATAACTTATTTACAAACGACTCTAAGTAGTCAGCACCCACATTGTCTTGGCCCCTAATGGCCTGAATTCTGAACCTGTAAGGTTGTAGGCTAAGTGCCCAACGCACACGTCTTGGGTTTGTTACCTTAGACTTGTTCAGATATGCAAGGGGACTGTGGTCCGTTTCTAACACAAACTCTTGCCCATACAGATAGTTTTGGAATTTTTGAATAGCCCACACTGTTGCTAGGGACTCTTTCTCAACTGTTGCATACTTGCACTCACTCTCTTTAAGCTTCCTACTAGCATATGCAGTTGGTAGTTTTTGACCTTGTTCCCATTGTAAGAGGACTGCTCCCAGACCTCTGTCTGAAGCGTCTGTCTGTAGAATGAATGTATCATTGATGTTGGGAAGTTTCAGAATGGGACACTTTGTAAGTGAACTCTTCAACGTCTGAAATGCTAAATTATGAGATTCTTCCCAAAGAAGCTTAGTAGGAGAACCTTTTCTAGTCAAATCAGTAAGAGGTGAAGCAATCTGAGGAAAGTTTGGCGCAAATTTACGGTAAAACCCGATTAAACCAAGGAATGACCTTAATTGCTTTTTGGTAAGCTAGACAGGTGCATTACGTTTTGCATCAACCTTGTCTAAGTCTGGTTTCAACTGCTCATTACCCACAATATGTCCAAGGCAGTCTATGTTTGAATAAGCCAATGAACATTTACTAGGCTTGGCTGTCAAACCTGCTTGGCGTAATCGCTGAAAAAGCTCATTCAATACAACAAAATGATGTTCTAATGACTTTGTGTAGACCAAAATATCGTCTATAAAATTGTCTACATTCTCCATACCATGCAAAACCTTGCGCATCAACCTTGAGAAAGTAGCGGGGGTCGTTACCAACCCGAAGGGCATCACCCTAAACTGGAACAATCCTTTTCCCGTTTTAAAAGCTGTTTTTGGTTTTGCTTCATCTGTTAATTTTACCTGCCAATATCCTTTTGAAAGATCGATTTTTGAAAAGAATTTGTGACCTGCAAGTTTGGAAAACATTTAGTCAGTGTCAGGCATTGGTTCAGAATCAAATATAGTCTAATTGTTTAACAGACGAAAATCTGTACAAAACCTATTTGTTCCATCTTTCTTGGGCACTATAACGATGGGTGAACAATACGGAGAGTCGGAGGGTTCAATAATGTTCACACTCAACATGTCACTTACCTCCCTGTTGACTGTCTCCTCCATAGAATACGGTATCTGACGACTTCTTACATGAATGGGTTTTCTACTTGCCATTCTTCTGTCGTGCTCAAGGACATTTGTGAGTCCTGGCTTGTCTTGGGAAACATCACTGTACTGACCCAACAATTTCAATAACTTGTCCCTGTTCTCTGTTGATAATGAAGGGTTTATATTAACATTACTTCCACTAACCTTTGATTGAGGATACTCGTCTAACTGGCCTTCTTGGTTTTCGTCATCTACACAATCAACCACTGATGCGTTAACCAAACCAAGTACACCTGCATCACACGTCATCGAAACCATATCAGAAGTTCTCTCAACATACCTCTTTAATAGATTTATGTGGAACCTTTTCGTCTTACCTTGAACATCCAACTGATAATCTACTCTCTTAATTTACCCTCTTTGTCACTACAAACGGTCCTTTCCACTGAAGCAATAACTTATTGTTCTCAGTTGGCAATAGAACTAATGCTTTCTCTCCTACCTTTAGACTTCTATGTCTCGTTTTCCTGTCATAGTTTTTCTTATACATGTACCTGGTAGACGACTTTTCTAAACTCTCCTTGGTTAAGTCTGCCATAGATTGAAGTCTGTCTTTTAGATCCAGGACGTATTGATATGTGGTCCAGAACTCTTTCAAGATAGATATTGGTCCACGAACTGATCTGCCATATACAAGCTCGAACGGAGAAAATCCAAGACTTTCCTGTGGAACTTCTCTATAGGCGAACAAAACTGCACTCAGGTACTTGTCCCAATCTTTAGGTTTTTCAGAACAAAGTCGCTTCAACATTTGTTTCAGAGTTCCGTTGAATCGTTCTACCAATCCATTGCAACTCGGATGATATGGTGTTGTTGTCCATTGCCGAAGAGAAATAAGTCGACTCACCTCTGACATAAGGGAAGAAGTAAATTGTGTTCCCATGTCTGTCAAAATCTCACAG